TTGACTTATCCCCAGAATTCCCAGTTTTATGTGCAACAGCAACCAGAAAAAAAAAATCATAAAATGCTGGGCTAATATATCATCACAAAAGGAACTAATAACAGGACTGAAGACATCTGTGCAAACTTAGCCCACCTACATCTCAAAGACTGTATGAAGTTCTGGTCTGTGGACAGATCAGAAGTTAAAGGAAGGCAAATAAGACAGCAAAAGGATGAGTGCCTGCCTTAGAAAAAGAAACTGAAGAGGCTGTTCAGTTGGAGATAAGGCTGAAGTAAGATTTGATCAATCAAGCCATGAGAGAAGTGAAGAAAATAAAACTTCTGCTTGCTAAATCCTCCAGTACTAGAGTACTCAGGGACATCTGACAAAACAAGAGATGGGTTTACAAGAGATTAAGGAGCTTCTTTACAAAGTTAGTAGTAAATTTCTGAAACTTGCCAACAAATGTTGTAAAAGCAGTAAGCATTAACAGGTTTGAAAAATCAGGCAAATTCTTGGATTGCAAGTTTGTAAATAGGCCCTAAAAGCAATAAGCATTACCATCCCTAATTCAAGAAGTATGCTGGGAATGTACAAGGGAACAGAACACATGAAGTGACTAGCTTTGTGTATGGTTCCTAAATAGCATCTCAGTGTCATTGCTGGAGGCAGAACCTTGAGTTTGACAGCCCACTGGTCTGACCCAATAGAATTTTCCTTCTGTCCTTTTATCTTTCTTTTTACACCTTCTTCAAGCTTTGATAGAACATATACACACATACACACAAAGACTACCCTCTTGCTTCTTATCAGCTATGAAAAATATGGGCCAGATCTAAGTTACAGAAGAAGACCTTCAGCATATGTTCTAATATATCATATCTCACATTAAGCAATAAATAATATCTTTATGTAAAAATAAGGGTCAGACTGAGGAGGAAATATTTGAATTATTTCAGTCAGTGTCACTCCCATAAAGCCACAGATGTTGTTCCACAGCAGGATCAGCTATTTCAATGAAAATGTAGCCACCTGCTGAGGGACAAAAGAAACAAACATCAGCTCCTCCAGCAGCAGATCTGCAGAGCAGCTCAAAGGGAGGCAAGGTTAGGCACATAAGTCATTCACATTTCTACTACAGCAAATATCAAAAAGTAATAAGAGTTAAAATTGACTGGTATTCAGATGGAAGTCTTAAAAAAATTAGGGTGGCAGACAGTACCTATAGGGTATTTTCCAACCTCTTATTTTCTACATGAAATCAGAGGCACATTATAACTGAAGTATTTTGAGACCACTGTTAATATAGAACACCTTATGCAAAAGGAAAAGGTATACTTGCAACGCTCCACAGAAGTAAATAAATACAGCTCAACAGAATCCTCACATGATTTCAGTTGTATAATGTATCCTTCATCCTTCCCATTAGCTCCCTCTCCAGTATTTGGTTATTTGTTGTTAACTGGAAGGACAGAGTGTATACTTCATGCATCACTACATATATTTAAGAAATACATACGTTATGCATTAAATTGTATGTTCAGACATGCATTAGTAACTATTACAGATACAGGTATTTGGATTACTCCCAATAGTTGGCAGGTCATATTGAGAGCTACAAAAATTTTTAATGCAGAAGCACTAAAAAATAGCATCCACTCCCATTACATGTGCAAAATGTCTAGCAATTGTACATTTTACGTAGCAATACGAGCGCTTGCAAACGAGACATATCACTCATTATCACACCTTGATACCCCTCCATCTTCATACCACCCACATGCAGGCCCAAGGCTTTGAGACTGCACGTATCTTCTTCCTCCTGGATGAACTCTAGAAAGCTGATCTCAGCCACCAACACATCTGCAGTCTGCACAGCTCTGCTGAAATTTGCTCCTGCCTGACTGAGCATCAGTCAGTCACAGGACTGCCCATCTCCACTTTTGCCCTGTTTCTCTGCTGAAAATCTATGTCCTCAGCCCTACCAGCTGAATTCCCACATCCTGTTTAAGAGCACCCTTTGTTAACTTCATTAGACCGTGTTCATCGACTACATAGGAGCTGAAAAAGAGCAGTTGTGGGCTCTCACATACTCCTATGGCAGCACTGGGCAGCAGCAGATACTATCAGCATTTGGAAACATCTGAAGCCAGTAAGTGACAAAGGGAACACTTGGACGCAGAGGCATTTTATGCTTTGCTTATCTTGAATTCTGCAGAGCTTCCATACATCACTGTATGCAGTCACTGCATTTGCTGGATACTGTATGTGTGGCTGCAAGTCAGTTTTTTAACTGCAGTTCAAAAACAGCATTAGCTTTTCCGAAAAGATCAGTGTTCCATTTGTGTGATCTAATACAACTCGAAGGAGATGCGTCATTCATTCATCTTTTCTATGATCTTTCTGCAACTCTTCAGTAGTTCAACAAAATGTAAATATGTATTTCTGAAAACACACGCCACTTGTTTCACTTAGCTGCATCAAAATAATTTGCCTACTACTCTTGGTAAATTACATTACTAATATTTTCATATCCATCCTTATTTACACAACTGAATAGGCAGTGCTTTCCCATGCCTACACACGGGGAAACTGAAATGTTCCTTTTCGAATCTTGCAGATGTGACAGGATTATCCAACTGCTTCAGTTCCAGATTTCTTATTACAATGCATATGGAAATACTGCCTGTAAAAAATTATTGCTACAAATCTACAATCTACAATCTAACTTTATTTATTTGTTTGTCCTTCTAATTGTAAACCATACAGATGGACTCATTATGTTCTATACCCTGTGTTCATGAAACTACGAAGAGCAGTCTAATGGTCTCTGCAACTCATGTGTTCTCCTTTAGCTTTAGCTAGGTATGTGCACCACGCAGTGACAACAGCGATGACTATCAGTAAGTCCATAGCTGATTAATGGTTTCAACAAGTAAATAATTAATAAAATGCTCCAGAAAACCTTCATCATTTATTAACAGTCAAAGAAGAAGAGAAATCAACAGTGAATCAAGCACCCTTCTGAAAATTATACGATTGAAATGTTTTCATCTTCTCAAAAAGGTCAGAAGAACTATGATGAAGAAAATAGTTCAGAAAAAGGCTGTGTAGCTAATTCAGTGGCAAACATTCTCCTGCTTGCATAATCCTCCCGGGAACAATCTCAGTGAAATGAGTATCACAAATAGAGACTGCTCGTGTGATGGTGCTTCTACTGATCACCCATTCAGAGACTAGATTTCTAGATTTTGTATATTACCCATAAGGGAATGAGAAAAGAAAGTTGGTATTTTCAGCCTGTAGTCGTGCAAGAATTCCGCTTATCTTCACTATCAAATTTGCCTTTTACTTCCCAAAGAAGGCATGCAAGGAAAACACAGGTGAGGTATGAGGCAGCCTGGCACAGCCGAGTGCATCTCAGACACTGCGTCATGGCCACTTGGATCAGGATCACTCTCTGCCCTAGGCATCTAAATTAACCTGAAGCACTCGAAGGACATCGATTCACGTAACTAAACCATATTTCTGAAAAACTGGTTTGCCAATATGACATTTTGCTGGATCTGTCCAGAACTGGTGATACACAGGAAACTGAAATTTCATTAGCCATTTCTGTTCTGTCAATAAAGATATTTATTGGATAAGTATGCAGGAAGAGAAGAGCATTAACCTGCATCAGTTATAAATTCAACACCTCTAATTGTTTTCTAGTACTTCCCACGCAGCTGTAAATCAAGGCTTCAGCTCTCCAAAGCAACCATAGGGCTCCCACTGGTTACTCTGGTTACTCTGGTTATTTATCCATGCGTGCCACCCATCGCATGATTTTGTAAATTTCTGACAGCACGTTGTGCATCACGTGACAGAATGCCCCTCAGAACTGAATTAAGGATGCAGAACACTATGGATCAACAAGGTGAGAACCAAATCAATACACTCCTAGAAAGCAGGGAAGGAGGCTTACAGCTACAAAAGAATCAAGAGTTGGAATTAAATGCTCTTAGTGTTTCCTAAAGACATGAAAGCGTTTCGTATTGCTTAAAAAGCCTACGCAAAATAGCCAAGATATAGCAGAAGCTGCTGTCTCTTCAACTGTTAATTTTGGATGCTGCTTACTACTGAATCGATGTCAAAACCTCTCTACTTCCATGACGGATGGATCGGGTCCATCATCGCATAGTTTGGCAGCACCCTCACAATCCCTTACAGCGCGATACAATCAAGATTCTGAATGTTTACGTTAACGACCGTAATGGGCATCTAAAGGCTTTTTCTTTTCCTCCCGATCTGCGAGATCTGGCAATTCTCCAAAGCCCTCCGGCACCACCTCCCATCACTAGGAGTAAAGGAGGCTGAAGAACAATGAGAAAGAGCGTGCGTGGACAACGGGACTTCGTCTTCGGAACCCCTCCGCCTTCACAGCCAGCGGTCACGTACCGCCCACCACCACCAAGGTGATGGTTCACCTCCTTTAACTTTTCCCTCCCCGCTTCGCCAACTTCAGGGCGCAGCGTGCAGCCGTGCCCGCCTCCCGGCCCCGCCGAGCGGCCGAGCCCGCGGCGCTCAGGTGCGGCGCCCGGTTCGCGAAGGCTTCCCTCCACGACCGCAATCAGCCGCGGGGCAGCGCCGCGGGGCCCAGGTCCTTCGCCGCCGCGCCCCGCCGGCGGGGCGGCACCCCCGGGGCCGTCTCCGCAGCCCCCGCGGCGCCCCCAGCCCTCCCGAGGCGGCGGCGAAGCGGCGATGACAGCTCCGCGCCGCGCTCCAACGACCGCCGGGCGAGCATCGCCGCCTCGCCGCGACACCCGCCGCTCCGAAGTTCCCGCCGCGCCGCCGGTCCCGCCCGGGCGCCGGGACGCGGGCACGGCCGAAGGGCACCGCGAGGGGTCCGCCCCGGGCATCCCGCCGCCCGCCGCTCCGCCCGTGCCGGCACGCTGCCGCCGGCCCCTCCGGCGCCAGGCGGAACGGACTCGCGTAGAGACAGGCGTCCGCCCTCCCTCCCCGCGGCCGGAGCTTACCGGCCGCGTTCGCCCTCAGCTCCGCGCCGGAGTGCCGCCCGCCGCCCCGCGGCCGGCATCCCTGCTCCGCCCGCAGCCGCACCAGCACCAGCCGCCGCGACGCCCGGCAGCAGCGCCCGCCCCACGAGAGCGCAGCCCGGGCAGCGGGGGGACTCGCCCTTTCCGACTGACAGCGCCGCCGGCCAATCGACGCCCGCGCCGCGCCGAGGAGGCGGGAGCGTGTCACGGGTAACGGCCAATCGGAGCGCGCCCCTCCGGCGGCGCTGTTTCCGGGAGGGGGCAGCCGAGGCGGGCGGCGGGGGTCGCCGGGGGTGTGAGGGGCCGGGTCGGGCCCGCTGAGCGCGGCGGTGCGGCTCGGTCGGGCCGGGCCCAGCGGGGCTGAGGCTGGGACAGGGCCTCGGCCTCCCCGGGATGCACCGCAGCCGAGGCGGTGGCTGCCGGCAGCGGGAACGTGCGCGCTGGAGCCACTTCCCCAGGAGCACCGGAGGGAGGCTGAGGACTGTCCTGTCGCGCGGGGCGCGTCGTCGCTCCCGGGCGCTCGCAGCAACACCGAACTTCACACTAGGGCGCTTTGTTCAGGGGAAAAAAAAAAAAAAAAAAAAGAAAAAAAATTAAAAATAATTATTTATTTTCCCGGCGGAACCCGTGCAGGCTGGAGCTGCGCCCCGCGGCACATCCCCGCGCCGCGGAGTGCCGCCGTCCTCAGAGGGCACCGCGGCCGAGTCCACAACGGCCGCTGCCGCGCGCCGGGTCCGCCTCGCCGCGCGCTGAGCCCGTGCCGCCCGCCCCGCCCCGCGCTCCGCGTGCTCTGTGAGGGACCATTGTGTGCTTCGCTGCCTCTGCAGCAAACGGCGGGCGTGAAGTGCTCGGAGGTACCGCCGTCCGCGGCGAACGTTGGCTCGGGTCGGGTACGGCTCCGGCTCCGTTAGGACCGTGCGGTCCTTGAGTAAGGAGCTGGTTTGCTAGTGACGTGCTGCGAGGTCTGCGCCGCGTTTGCCAGGACTTGGACCAGAGGGTTTGTCACGCTGATGTCTCTGAACTTCACCTGCACCTCTGCATACTTGGTTTGGCTCTAACAGCAATCTCACCGACGGAGGAAGAAATCATCGACACGAACATCCCGTTCTTCCTGGCTGAGGACTCCAAATGCTCACACTTAACTGTTGTTGCTCTCTCACTCATCCCCAGTCTGCAGTGAGTACCGCAACCAGGGGATCCGGAGGAGCAGTGGAAGGGTGACCGTGACACCAGAAATCTCTTCCTTCTGTTCCGGTCTCTTTCTCAAAAACAAGGTGAATATTACTTCAAAACATTTTAGAAAAATGTGTTTCACTGCTGATTCTTTTCGGTACTGTTGGTCTTTATCCTCTGTTTCAGCATTTGTTGGGAAAGGCCTTGCTTTTCCTGCTGGTACATGCTGGTGGTTTCACCATGGGCAGCTGAACTCCAAAACAGCTGCTTTCTCACTCCTCCTCCACAGAGGAGCAGGGAGAGAAAACATGATAGAAAAGTGCTGAGGGGTTGTGATGAGGATAGCCACCAGTTACCATTGTGAATAAAAAACAGTCTTGGGAGCTCAATATAAGTTAATGCGGATAACTATCAGACTAGAGCAGTGAGATGTCCATCCTTCCCCAACCTATTCCACACGAACTTCCCACAGGCTGCAGCTCTCCAAGCGCTGCTCCAGCACAGCTCCGTACCGCAGGGTCAATACTTCAGGAGCAGAGTGCTCCAGCGCAGGACCCCATAGGAAGCTGCTCCCCCAGCACTCCCGTCCCACCACAGGCTCCTCTCCACGGCCTGCAGCTCCTGTGAGGGCTCTCCGCCGGCGGCACTCACCTCCAGGCCACACCCACTGCTGCTACACGAGGGGCTTCTCCACGGCTGCACGTGGAGATCTGCTCTGTGTGGTGCCCATGGGCTGCACGAGGACAACCTGCTCCACTACAGGTCTCCGGGACTGCTTGGAGCTTCTGCTCCATGCCTGGAGCACCTCCTGTACTCGTCTGCTGACCCTGGTGGCTGTAGGGCTGCTTCTCTCTCATTTCTCACTCCTTTCTCCAAGCTGCTGCTGTGCAGCAGTTTTTTCCTTTTCTTAAATCTGCTGTGCCAGAGGTGCACCCAGCACTGCTCACAACTCAGCACTGGGTCTCTTTTGGAGCAGCTGGAGCTGGCTCTGATGTGGGGTGGGGCAGTGATTGGCTCTACTCACAGAGGCCACTGCCACAACTTCCTGCTACCAAATCCTTGCTTCATAAACTCAATACATATGCACTTAGAGCCTGACTTACAGAAGCATGAAAGTTTATCAGTTCACCATGGCTTTCCATTGTACTTTATGCATTTCAGAACTGTTTCCAAAATTGAGTAACTTCTGCAATTAATCTGTTAATAAGCAAATGTTTGTTATGTCTTAATGAAGGAATTTATTATTAATGTTAATACTAGCTACTATTTACGGGCAGAATTCCTTGTTCACTTGTACCAGAGAATGGTACCTTCATATGTTGAGTTCAGAACTGCTCCTACTGTCAGGCAACCTGGCAGTCGTCCTTTCCTTGCATAGCAACATTCTAATGTAAGTTTTATTATGTTGAAGCTGATCCACTACAGTAGTAGATTTCTTTTCCTCCCTTTCTTTAACTGTTTTCCCATTTTTTTGTTGCAGTTATACATTTGGGCTTGTGTCTAATGTGAACAGTGAATGCACTCACTTTTGTTTGGAAGGAACTCAGCTGCTGCAAGTGTGGGGCACAGTGCACTGCGTGATAGCTCAGATGTTGTTCCTCTGGAAAATTGTCTTTTTTAGTTCAGGAGCTACCCCAAGTCTTGAGAAAATTGTCAAAAATGATATTTAATATGTATCAAAAACTCTGGCAATTTTTACTCTTCGTTGAAGTAGGAGGAGATTCTTCACTTTTGATGTCAGAGAGATAGAACTTTAGCTTGGAAAAAGACCTGCCAGGCTTTTCTTACTGTTCATTTTTACAAATGTTGCAGAGCTCACTAAAGCAATTCACAGTTACAACTTTGTAACTCCTGCAGAGAAGGAAACACCAACAGAATCCATGCTGCTCTTTCATTGCAAGTAGGACATAAACTTTCATTATTTGTAGTATTTAAAACTTTATCTAAAATTGTAAAGAGAAATTCAGAAATTCTGTCTGAGCAGTATTTTCCCATTAAAAGAGTGGCCTCTAAAATTTAACAGCAGCTTTTTCCAAGCACATACACAGTTCAGTTCAGTGTGTAAGGTAACTAAATCATTACTTGCCAGGAACTAAACTGCAGTTTAGCTACAAGAAAACTGTAATATGTCTTACCACAATTTTTTAAAAGTGTTGAAGATCACTAAAGAGAATTTGTTCTAAACAGAAAGCTGTTTAGAACAAATAATCTAACAGCCAAATATCCTGTTTATGAGACAGAACTTGTTGGGGGTAGATTTGCTGTTAGAGGCTCAGAAGCACCAAATAATTACAAGCGGAAAAGATGTGAGAATGAGAAAGTAGCACTCCTAAAATATGAGGCCATATATTAAAGGGCTTTACCTTATTCTTAATAGCTTTTGAAAATTTATCAGAGCTATTAGTACACTGCTAAATTTTGTTGTTGCTTGGTTGAGTTTTTTGTTTTGTTTTGTTATTGGTGTGTGTATCTGAATACAGTTGCTTAGATTGGCTTAGTGTACAGAACTGCAAGTTAGCCATCGGTCACATCTAAGGTATAGTGTTGAGAAGTCCTGACAGAACATATAGGAGCTGAACTACTTTTATTCACAGCACAAAAAGTATAAGAAATACACATACAGCTCTGTCAGTCAGCACAGGTGCACTCTGTCCTGGATCAAAACTCCAGAGGTGACAGAATAAGACATGAAGAATGCCTCTTAAATCTTTGTTTTGGCTTTTAAGACTGCCAATTAGATGCAAGCTGTGTCCAAGGTGCTAGCATTTGAGACTTGGCTGACACTAGGATCTATGCTGATATTCAACTCTAAAAAAGAGTTGCTGTATATCCTTTTATCCTCGTGTTTTAGGATTGTTTGTATTAACAACCTGTATGCTTTGGAATTACTCCATCATCATCATCCAGAAGTTCTTTGTCACCCCTGGAGGTTCCTCATTTAAAGAAGATGGTGTGGGCTTGCCAACATTAAGATGCTTCCACCTGTTTGTAGTTTTGTGCAGGCATTTTACGTTTGGTCTCTCTGCTGTCTTTTTATACATAAGAAATATATTGTTTTTAGACATAGTCACCTTACAAAAGGTTGATAGTTTTCTAATGTAGATAGCAGTAAGTGGAGTCGTAGTTTTATGTTTTAACTACATAGCCAAGTGCAGACTGATTATACTAAACATCCAGTTTTCAGATTTTCCATGCTTCACCTGGTCTCTTCTCTGAGTCATCTGTCTTTGTCTCTCTTTCTTCTTTTTTTTGGCTGAAGTCTCTACCTATAGATGTACACGAACTGCATCGTTACCTGCTACTGATTTCGTTCTATGTGAGTCACATTTTTGATTGCTAGGACATAGCTGTATGAACACGAAAATAGCTGAGTCTGTCCCAGACCAACTTTCAAACAATAACTGCTCTGCTGGTGTGAGGTCCAGAAGGAACACCAGAAAGCACAAAACCTTCTCCTGAGTGGGGCTAGGCTGACAAAACCACAATCTAATAAATACTGCGGACGTTGCCTGCTGTGGTGGGTTGGCCTGGGCTGGCTGCCAGCTCGCAGAACACCTTCACCTCACACCTTCCACAACAGAACAGGGGGGGAAAGTCAGATGGACAGGCTTGTGGGTTGAGATTGAGGCAGTTTAATAAGCAAAGCTGCTCATGAAATTAAAGCAAAAACACTCTCATCAATAGGTGCTGTTCATCCACTTCCTGAGAGACATGGCCTCCATATGTGTAGCAGTTGATTCAGAGGAGAAAAACCACCAATGTCCCCTTGTCTCCTCATTTTCCCTACCTTTTACTGCTGAGCAGCACATTATGTGGTATGGCATGTGATTGGCTCCTTCCAACCTCTCGCCCGCCCACAGGCTACTGGCCCTGAGAGTGGGGAGGATGAAGAGGCAGCCCTGATATGATGTGGGAGCAGTGCTCAGCAGTAGCCTAAAAACCAGTGTGTTCTCAACACTGTGAGCCTTAGAGGCAAAGCACAGCACTGTATGGGCTGCTGGTAAGAGGGTTAGTGTCAGCCCTACCTGAGTCTGCATCGTTGATTTTGCAGTGGTTCACAAAGCAGGAAACACCTTTTTAATTTAGGAAGCAACAGACAGTCCTCTGCTTTATCCTGGCTTGGCTTGTAGAACTGTTCATGAGTTGGCACCTTACTACAACTGAAATTTAAAAAAAAATATGCCTTATTTTCTTTAGTCTTGCTTTGTCCTCTCCTCTGAGTTTTGGCAGCATTAGAAGGCAAATATTATAGCGAGTTCTAAGGGGCATCTTGTAAGAGGAAATCTTTTACATCAAACATAAAGTAATCTTTTAGGGATGAACATGATTTCTCTCCTCCCTTTTGGTAGCTGTTGAATATTTAAGTGATGTATAGATGGAACACTTACACATCTGTGGGAGGAATATTTTATTATTTGTTCTTAAATGCATTGTAATGTCAGTGTTCGCCTCAGCTGGTAACAAATTTGTTTATTTTATATAGGTGTGTGATATGTGATATAAGTCACAGTTGTGTGCTAGGTACTATATAGAAAAATAAGGAAACAAGGTCCTTGACCCACTTGGTTTGCATAGGCTATCTCTAGCAGAACTGCGCTGTGATGTAGTTTCACACTGCACAAAGAAATATTTAATTATTTTTAGATTTATGTCTACTGTGTATTAAGTTATCTGAAGAGAGCTTTTCTCCCTTATAAACAAACAAGGCGACTTCTGTGTGCTTGGTGAGTCCTTCAAGATGTTTGTTTATCATAACTGATCAGTTGCAAGCACAGCTTCCATTTCTATAGTGTCCTTCATAGCAATGTCACTATGAAGATCATAATGAATATACTTAGAAGCATTTAAGGACTCCATAAATACATAAATACATATTTATTTTTGACTGCCTTGAACACTGATTTCAGACAGGCCTTTTGTGTTAATGAAAAAATAGCGGGTGGATTATGGTTTCATATCCAAGCAATTCTGCTTTGCATGAGTGATCAGGACAGAGAATGAACATTGGTCCAATCAATTTAAGGATTTTTATGTTTGTCTCTAGAGATTTTATTGTCTCCCACCCCATATTTCATTTTACAGTGTATCATCTGTCCTGAAAAACATGTACATAATTTCCATCTGGAAAAAAATGAGTGTGCTTCTGTTTAATCGTGATTATTTTTTGTTGTTGTTAAGCTAATTTTGTAATTTTGTGTTTCTGAGGCTCTTGCAAGATAATCTGACAAGTGCTATTCATAGACTAAGCAGTTTGGTTCTGTATCATCTAATGAAGATGTTATCTGATTTTCTTAACAGCAAGGGGATGTGACCTGCAGAGGGATGTGACTTGACATGGAATTCCATTTTCTCAAAGGATGTCTACCAGAAGTTAGGATTCACATCACAAGGGACAGGTGCTGCAAAGGTTGGAATTGTTATCTCTATTACAACTTTATGAATGACACATAGGCCTGGTTCTGTCACCCCTATTTACTCTGAAGAGCATCTTAAGGAAAATTACACATAGTTGTTTTTCTGTAATGGCATCCATCTAGACAAAGATGCCTACTTGGATAGGAGCTGAGGACACTGCTGCCAAAGGGTATTCAAAATATAGATTTTGAATCTATAGATTCCTGAAACAGAGAACTGTTTTAGGAATACTTGACCATGTATGCTTTTTCTTATCATCAGTAAGAAAAATTTTTCAGGTCTCAGCCCTCCAAAGAGAGGAGCTGCAAGTGGAGTAATGGTAAAAAAAAAAAAAAAAAAAAAAGAGCATACGGATAGAAAGAATGTGAAAAAGAACAACAGTGAAGCCATTAAATTATAAAGCAATTTAACAGTACTGATCTTACTAGATCTATATATA